AAAAAAAAAAAAAAAAAAAAAAAAAAAAGGAAAAAGAGAAAGGAAAGGAGGGAGAGGGGGAAAGAGAGAGCCCACAACCCGACAGGTTAAGGAAAGAGGGAAGCCTTTAGTGCTCGCTGCTCTGTATCCAGTGGTGTCTCTGAAACAGGAGTAGGAAGCTTAGCAAACAGAACTCTGGGATGCACTCCAAAACCACATTTGAAGTCGAGTCACTGGAGTGGGATTACTAACCACAATGCTGCACTTTATTCACGGGCAGACAAAGAGCAGTACGGAGGGCACGACAGATGAAAGAGCCAGCCCTGACAGGCAGATGTAATGCACAGAGGTTGGCCATGCACCTAGTGGTGAATAAACTCCTGTGTCCTCGACTTGCATACTTTCCCTGTTCCTCCACTTATTAAGTCACTATTTGCAGCCCGACCCCTGGAAATGTTTTAGGCATGCAGCATGTCTGAAAACATCTGTCTCAAATCTCCTGGCACTCTCAGCTGAAGTGATCAAATCCTGTGACGCAGCTGCAGGAGCCCAGTGCTTTTTCACAACTCTGGGCACTCCTTCTCCATATAAATTTACGCAACCTATATTTTGTTTTACTGTGAACAGGGTCCATCTAAGAAAAGGAGGCCAAGGCCCTGGGCTAAAGGATTGCCTCGGTTAAAATGCCACCCTGGAGCTCTCACTGCGGCTCCTCACAAGCCACCTAAAGTCGGTATTTCTTTCATTCATACAGCCCTCTTTTAAAAACCAGATGCTATCACCTGTTACACAGCAGAGGCAGCACAATATCACATAATGGATACTCATCTTCAAGTCAGATTCTGGGTGGTAATCCTGGCTCAGCCATGCTATGACTCTGGACCTGTCATTTCACCTTTTCTCCAAAACATGAGAGAATTAGAAATGATGTTTTCCAGCCAGTTTTAACTTTCTATGTTTATCAGGGGTCAGCAAGCAATGGCCCTGGGATCAAATCAGGCCCACTGCCTGCTTTTGTAAATAAAGTTTTATTGGAACACAGCCACTCATGCATTTACATACTGTCTACGGCTGCTTTTGTGCAGTAACAACAGAGTTGCACAGAGAAGGGATGGCCTCATCCAGGATTGCCACTTGCAGCCAGGCCCCTATATAAACTCGGGCAAAGCACAATACAGAAACCCTATTTTGACATCCACATTTGTGAAATGCCCCCAGCCAGGTCCTTCCGCTTCCCAGGAGCCTAGGTAGAAAGCAAAAATGGTAGCAGCAGCTCAAGACAGCGGAAGAGACATGATTCATCTTTGAAGCTTTAAGCCTGATTGGAAGCAGTGCCCTTCCTGTGGTCCCTGTGTTACTGCAGTGGGCAAAGGAAAGCCTGCCTTTGGGTCAGCCTATCTTCTACCATACCCTGCCCAACAGAAGAGATTCTCCCCCTTTATACTGCTTTGGTTTGACCAGCATTGTGTTTTCAGAAAATCATCCAAGAAGCCTCTAAAGGCCCACAACAAAATAAAATGTGGTCAAATCTGAGCTTGGAAACAAAAACCTTACCCAAAGGAGCCGTTAGAATTTCAAGGTTGGAATGGGACATCAAAGGTTTTCTGACAACTTTTATTTGAACATCTCTAGTGACAGGGAACTCATTACCTGCTAAGATGGCACATTCTAGTTATGGGCAGTCCCTAACAAGTGCTATTCTTAAGCTGAAGTTATGTCCTCACAGTCAGCTGCACCCATTAATCCTAATTCATCTCCCCACATTCTCACAATCTAATGCCTCTTCCACCTGACAGCCCTTCATCTCCTCACAGACATTACCACAGAAGCCAAGAAAGCTGAAGTTACAAGGGACCTGAAGAGATCCACTTGGGTTGGCCCTCTCGCTTAAAAGAAAATGATTCTGCTGGAGCAGAAATACCCTCAGTTCTTTCCAAATGGTTTTCCAAGACTGTTTCTCATTCACCCGTGGTTCAATGCAAGAGATCAAGACATACAGTCTGGGGTGTGAAGATATCCTAGTGGCCAACCAGGTCTTCCAGCCCCTTGCAAGACGGCATCCAGAAACTTTTTCCACAAACAGCCAAACAGTAAATATTTTAGAGCTATAGGCCTAAAGGACTCTGTTTCAACTATTCAACTCTGCTGCGGTAGCAGGAAAGCAGATTGTCAACAACAGTATGTCAATGAATGAGTGTGACTATGTCCCAATAAAACTTTATTTAAAGACACAGTTTTGAAACCAGTGCTTTAAATGTTTTCAGGACATTTAAAATTTCTCTAGGACTATACCTCATAAATTTTAAAAACTGCAATGGAATGCTGATTCTACAACAGACAAAACTCACCTAGTTTGATTTTTTTTTTTTTTTTTTTTTTTTACAGTAGAAGAAAAAAAAAAAATCAGCTTACTCTAAGTTGTCAGACCAAGCTTACAAATATCTTGAGAATACTGTGTGTGTGTAAGGGTGTGAAGCCCAAGACAAAAGAGAGACAACATCGTCCCACTTCAAGAGAATATAAACTTCTATTTTTTTTTCTGGCCCTTGGAACAATAACGAAGTTGGAAATGGTGTGCCAACTATTTTGTCTTCTCTGGCATTAACTCTCAGTACCAGCAGCTGCCATGCAGAGGCTCATACCATCACCTAAATTATGCTCACTTCAGCGAACTGACACATCCAAAGAAAGCAAGCCCTTAATCATTATGCCCACGTTACCTCCCAGCTATAGTAGTCACTTTATAGGCACCTGAGATTCTCTGGGCTTATTGTTTTAAAAAAACTTAGTATGTTTCTTTGCCAAAAAAAATTCTTTTTGGCCTGGAATCATCTGTATTTTCAAGAGGCAGAGACAGTTTCATATGACTTAATTCTGATTTTTATAATGTTCACATCTTCTTGGAAGCAGAGAATACATTTTATTTCATATTTCCCCCCTCGTGTTTCATAAACATTCTGCTATAAAGTAATCTAATTCTAAAAGAGACCCTTATACTCTCAGATGATCCTCTTGTGTCTGCAGGAAGCATTTATAATACTTCTCCATTCTTATTAAGTTTTCCACAATCTCAAAATCAGCATTGAAAAACTTAACTGTTTGACACTAGACTGTCATCCATAGCTCTGAGAGGATCTCTGTAAACATTAAATGCATTAGATAATATTCTCTCCTGTGTTCGCTCCTTTAAAATCATTTCCATTACTTTAAAATCATTTCCACATTATCTAGGGTATTGTGTACAAGAGTTTAAGTTTTAAAGCACACAGAAGTAACATACAGTGCTCTGAGTTTCAAATTCCTCAATGTGACAAGCTGAAGACAATACTACTCATCTCTCAAGAGTTCAGTGGGACGTCAGTGACAGTGGCCTTTCCTACACAGGCCATCTGCTGTTTAAGAGGCAACTTCCTCAAATGCCTTGAAAAAATTAATACCTAAGGACCCCTAGTGCCTTCTGTAAAGTAGGTAACCCAATAAATGTGGAACAAACAAAGTGACTCAAAGGATGACTGTACAACCCCACAGAGATCGGGGCCCACAGGATGCTGGAGGCCATTCTGGTCCAAGAGCCTTGCTTCACCAGTGATGAGAGTGAAGCCCACGGGTCAAATCAGCGGAAGAAGATCATCCCTGGCTGCACCCATTGGCTGATTAAGAATTACCAACCTGAGAAGCCAAAGTCAGACGAGTCAGGAGTTAACAGGGCAACTGTTGGCACAGTTTTCTTGCTTGGTTCCTCTGACAAAAACATGTGAGTTACCCTGTAGTTAAATCAGTCCCAGGAATGTCAACCAGGCACTTTCAAACTTTGGGTTTTAGAGTCCTTGGCTAGAAACAGATTGCCTGGAGGCACACAGCACCTCCACTGGGCCTCCTAGTCAGTCAGTCAAGACACTCAAAAGTCATCCCGTCTGCAGCTTCTGCCAGACCCTGTGTGCATTCATACCTCCAAGAAGAGGTGCTGGCACGTGGGTTAAAACAAACCACAGATGTTCAGACTGAATGGCAAATGGGATGGAAGTGGAGCTGATACCCTCCCCAATACAAAAAGCTTTCATTTCTGCTTCCCAATCATTAACGACAGAGCAAAATTCAAAAATGTGAACACTGTTCTTGACAGATGGACTTCAGTCTAGCTGCCATCTTTCAGTCATTAAACTAGGATGTGACCAAAAGCAAAGGCAGCTAAAGAAATAAATATAACAAGTTCAAGACTCACATCAGAGGTCATGAACAAAGAGTCTCGCCTCTGCATTCAACCAGAATGCTGCGACAGCACATCAGCATTCATCCAACTTCAACAAGGGGAGGCCAACCAGCACCGGCAGTATCCTCTGCAAAGGAGAAGCATCCTGCCCTGTTGACTGAGTGGGACTTCGGAGCCGATTCAATACCCAGGTCACATGGGAGAAAAACTGAGCTAACAGCTCATTCTCCCATTTTGCAGTCCATTGCCTGCCGGGAGACCAAGAATTCTTTGAAGGACAAATCATAAACGTATTAAATAATGCTTAGAATAACAAGACTTGATCGTTCAGCTCTCCAGGCTTGCTTAACTCCTCCAGGAGTCTTAAAATAATGCCCACAGAATACTCTGTTCCTCAAGGAAGGTGTTATGTAAATAGAAATCAGTATCAAATCGATTACTTCATCAGATTGCCCCAGTCATGGAAAATTCTCCAAGAGGGAAGGAAACTCAGAGATCTCTAGTTCTGCTGTGGGCACTTCCTCAGATAAGAATCTAGGGTTACTTTCCAGTACCACCTCTTGTAGTTTTTCCACATAGAACTAACTAAATGAAGAGGTAGAGAAAGAGTTGCTATGCAGGTGATATAAAGTAAAATGTCTGTGCTTCCTTCTTTCCATGTTCCCTTGATATTCACTGAAGGAAA